TATAACAAACTAACCAGCAGCTTAAAAGATATATGGACTGTAATCTTGTGTTGAGGTAGATGAAGAAGTAGGTGCAGTTGTTATATCAATCACATGCCCATTGTCCTCACGGGTTTCTGCTTGCTCCATCACTTGTTGTCATAACACTTTGTTTCAACTTTACAATGTAGTCCCAACACACAAAAATGCCCATCTACCAACTACAACTTAATAGAGATAAACGTTCTCCTAATATAAACCCTAATCCATCGACAAACAAATGATATTTTCATCATCAAATTAATCAATAAGCAAAACCTAGCTTCAGAATTCTGATCTTTCTAATCCGTATTTAGAGAAAACGACCAAGTAAACAATGGATCAATGAAACAACTAGTGTCATCAGAAGTCACAATTGAAAAACCCTAGTAGTGCAAAACATCAATTTCTTGCGTATTTGAGCTGATTTTGTGCGAAGACTCATACGTGAACAAAGAGGAAGGACTAACCAGTGAGTATGCAATTAAACTAGCAAACAATCAGAGGGATTTGCGGTGAAACCCGATAAGAGGGACTCGTTACCCGACCCGAAACCCGATAAGAAGGACCCGACCCGACCCAAAATCTTCGGGATTCGGGTTTCCCTGTCGGGTTTGGGTTTTTTTGCCATCCCTATCAATATCTCGAAAGTCTAGAAGATTTTATCTCTTTTGTTCAAGCCCCTCGACAGATCTACATGAAAATGTCTTTTACTAATTACTAATAAAAACTAGTAATATATGAATTGCTTTGTTCTCTTTATGTTATCTGCAAAATCGCGGTTAATAATGAACAATAAACAAGAAAAGGGAAAGCATGTCAAGCATAAAAAGATCTTTACACTAACACTCTTCTTTTGTTTTCAAGAACACCAAATAGGCCATCTATATGCACATTTAGTACATAAATAGAATGAAAACGTATGTCTTCTCATTTAAGAGATACAAAAATAAAAGAGGAAAACCAATAAACATAAAAAGTACATACATAGTGTTTTTCTTTTGAAAGCGACCTTTATATATATATATATATATATATATATATATATATATATATATATATATATATATATATATATATATCATACTTACGTGCATTATTAACCACTCCGATTGTAGAGCATGTACTAATATTGTGGGTTTACGTATTTCAGTCAAAAAGACCTGAAGTAGCAAAGCCCTGAGTAAAAATAGTACTTGAGACAGTTATTTCGGTTAAATAATTTTTTCTTATTTTGAAATAAGGGACTATATGAATAAGGGAGAAACTCCATGAAAGAAAAATTAGTGATTCATATAAATCACTTAGTGGGAAATGGCCCGAATATATATAGGCCACAAGCTCTTTTGGGAAATATAGTTCACGTTTTACAGATTGGGAGGGTAATTTTTGAGATTTAACATTTTTTTTGTTTTAAATTTTTTATTGAAAATTTAAATGATTTGTGAGATTTAGCGTATGTAGTGGTTGTAGAAGACAAAGAGAAAGGCGTTGTTAGCTTCTTTAAAAAACATCAAAGAAGGTTAGTAACAAATTTAGCATCAAATTGTTAACGATTTATAATTTCAAGTTCAGTTTGTCCTTTTTGTTATGTATATTAATCTGATTTCATCTTTCGTTGAGCAATTCAAGTTTTGGGAATCATTTTTGGATTGAAATAGTTTGTTACACGTTAGGGCTTGAATCCTCAGGATCGACCCTCGGCTCTGACAGAGGTGTTAGGGTTTGAAGATCTGACTCTCCAAAACTGGTCCGACAAATGAAAAGGGCGGCACCACAGTTAGGCGAATGGAAATGGTGGATTTTCTTTTCTTTCGGCCGGTGGTGGTGGTATTTGCTTTTTATGAAAATCAAAAGGAAGAAGGGCAAGATTCCAGAAAAGATGGCGACGTTCCGTCGAGTGGTGGTGGTGTTTCATATTTTCCGGCTGGTGGTAGCTGTTATTGTAGTTTTTTTTTTGAAAATGAGAGTGAGAGAGAGAGAGAGAGAGATGGGAGGTGTAAGAGGGGTAGGTAGTATTTTATTTTTTGTTGTATTAAAAGAAAAATATAAAAAGGTTAAATTCGTAACTTAAGTATTAAAAAATTAATAAATAAATAAATAAACCTTACAATAAAATTAAAATTTTGGACTGGTAGTTTAAAACTTTTTAAACCAAAATGAAAATTTTCAAACATCCACATATAACATTTTTATAATTTTGTTTATAATAATAGGATCGGACAAAAATAAAAATCTTTAAATCAAAAAGTCGCTTGGAAGAGTCGACAACAAACGTCAACCTTGCCCATCCGTACTAACCCATGATTTCCATATCATGAAAGAGTGAGGAGCCAATGAGCCACGGGAAACAACTTATGCAATGTTTAATAGACATTTTTTCAGATCCAAACATATCTTTCTGGTTGAATGGTTTGGAAAGGCTGTTTGATATGCACAAAAAAAATGGGTCTTTCCCAGTAAGATATGTCTTTCCCAGAAAGCTTCAAAACCATATCTTTCTGGCTAAATAAGTTGGAAAAACAATTGAACTCAAACTTTTCTTTCTTGGATTATTAATTTCTTCTAAATAATTTTTTTAATTTCTTTATTATTGGATTATTACTTTTTTATTGGACTATTATATTAACAAATATTATTTTTAATATATAATATTTATGCATTAATTAATATTGTTTTATTGGATTATTAATTTGTTTTAAATAATTTTTTTATTTCCTTTTTATGGATTAATTCTTTTTATTGGATTATTATATATTAATAAATATTATTTATAAATATATTTATATATTAATAAATATTACTTTATTGGATTATTAATTTTTATAATTAATTTTTATTGGATTAATTCTTTTTTTTTGGACAACATCACCATCATTCTAATATATTTTAAAAAAAATTCATCCATCCCACCACTATCAGACATAAACCGGTCAAAAATCACATGTTGAGTTATATAAAAAAAATTAAAATTGCTAGAAAGAATAACAACGTAACATCAACTTGAAAAAAATAAACTAAAAACAACTTAATCGATATTCTATTTTGATTTTTAAATGATTATTGTGTAATTTTGATTTTGTATGACAATTTATATGTTTTTATAATTATTCAGTAACTTCATCTATCACAGTATAGAACAACAGGTTAATATTGTCATTTTCATTATTCAGCACAGTCAATCAGATATACAATCAAACAACATAGTTTATTTCTCAGTCTGAAAACTTTCTCATACAGTATTTTTCCGGACATAAACTATCAAACATGACCTTAGAGACACACAAATAAATCAAGGGATGATGATAATTTTTATTTAGGTTTTTGAGCCAATTAAAATGAAGATGATTTAATTATATATATTTATTTTAATTGAAGATAAAAAAAATTATGATAATAGATATAAAAATCAAATAACTTTCTTTTTAACCGAATAAATGAAAAACCTAAATAGGAAAACACCTCCCATAAATCAATGCATGTTTTTTACGTAAAGCACGCGAAACTGATTCAGATTTTGTTTCACAATAATCTCTCTTGGCTTTATATAATTTAGAGTTTATATCCTTACTTTATCTAATTGTGGGGCATTTAAGACGTGATTGATCAACTTTTGTTATTGCTAAAAATGTACCCTTTTGTTAAATCATATTCCCACATAATGTTTATGCCTTTCAACAAATTCTACCACTTTTGATGCATGTTGTACAAGCGTTGTGGGGGTATTTTGTATGCCTTTTAGAGCATGGGTATTGGGGTTGATGGGTTGATGTAATCGATTTGTGGTGCAAAGTAGATGCTTGTTTGATTGCAAAAGTTGATATATAGTAATCGTATATTAGTATGTGGTGATCCTTCTACAATTTTTGATAGGGCCTCTTTATAAGTTCTTTTTTAAAAACGTTTTTTAAGCCAAAAATCTATTAAAATATGAAAAATTTAATGTATGGTCCCGTTATTTCCAACTAATTATAATTAAACAACATATGTTAACATTTGTAAAAAGACATTGAATTTTTTTTCCTATTCTATTCCCCCATTAGTATATCAACATTGATTTATATTTTTTTCAAATATTTTAATTACATATAATTAATAAACTAACAATTCAAATATTAACACAAATATTTTAATTTAATGAAAAACAAATTAATACTATCTTTAACGAACAAATATAATTTATTTGCACATATTATCAATTGGTTATAATACATTAAAGCAGTCTGCGTTTACCAATTGCATTTCGATTATTTTTCATGTATATGTTTCAAGTAACGCTTCAATTTATATTTATCCTATTTTGTTTAAACTTTTTTAAACAGTTTAAAACAGTTTAAAAAATATCAAAAAACACAAAAGAAACTTCAAAAAATATACTAGAATCATTAATAAGTTCAAGTTTTGAAGTTTAATAATAATAAAAGTTTTAAATCATAAGAAAATAAGAATTGTAATATTTATAGATCATATCATTCTAGATCATATTATTTTGGATCATATAATTTTGACAAAACTTCAAAAATGGTTCCTGTGGTTTTCGAAAATATCAAGTTTAATCCCTAAGTTCAAAAAACCTCACAGATGGTCCCTGTGTTTTCAAAACTTTTAACATTTGGTCCTTCCGGCTCACTCCGTTAGCATTTCACCGTTAAGTAAGGGACATTTTTGTCATTTTACTACCCATAGACCATTTATGAGGTTTTCTATTACTTTTTTAAAAAATAATAATAATAAATAAATAAAATTTAATATGCAAAGGGTCTCTCTCTCTCTCTCTCTCTCTCTCTCTCTCTCTCTCTCTCTCTCTCTCTCTCTCTCTCTCTCTCTCTCTCTCTCTCCAACACAAATAAGGGGAAAGGACTTTTTTCCATGGCAGATCGAAGAAGACGAATAGGCAGAAAAAAAAATGGTCCGGTGATGATTGATCGAATCGCAAGGAGGGGCGGAGAGATCAATCTCCGACGACCCTCTAAGGGTTTAATTTACCTCCGGAGAGATCGATCAAAAACACACCCCACCCCCGCTTCTTCTTCCCCAACCATAAACACACACAAAAATCGAAGACTGTAAATCGATTTTGGAGAAGAAGATTGGCTCTCAATTCGAACAGGTTTCAGTGTGAGCGAGAATACGTCTTTCCCAAGCATCACATTAGTGGAAGCATTCACTTTGCGTTTGATCTCCGCCATTGTTTCCTTCGCTGAATCATATATCGTGCAGTTCCTCTGAGAGAAGCATCCTTTGATATGATACTCCTCTGAACAATCGCCGAACATCTCCACCGTCATGTTTGACTTTCTAATGATCGAAGATCTCTTCACGCTAATATCGGCTTATCACCTTCCATCCTCTCACCCAAAAAACCCTCCCACCGTTGATGTAGACTTGGTCTCTGTTAATCAATAGGTTATTGAAATCCTTGACATGTGGAAAGTAAATATAATAGGAGCAAAAACACACAATTAACAATTTAACATCTAACATACCTTCCGGCGAATGGTGAGGAGGCAACGGCCGGAGGAATCCATGAGAACGAGTTCATATGCGTCACGATTGTCTGGACCGTATGAGTCGACACGGAACACGACTTGACCATTGGAATCGTAGACGGCGAAGCCATCGCCGGTGAATAATAGAGAGGTTTTCATAACTGTCAGATGCAATTCCTTTTCGTATACAAATCCTTTTTCAGCGATAATCCTGTCGATGTTCATTTCTTTGGAATCACTGACTCTGGTGCGAAACATGACTTTTGGAGCTATAGATTCAAAATTTTGATATCTTTTCGTTGATTTGGACCATGTAAAATAAGGAAAATGGGGCTACAGTGGAGTAGAAGATGCAACACAGAGAGAGAGAGAGAGAGAGAAGAGAGAGAGAGAGGAGAGAGAGAGAGAGAGAGAGAGAGAGAGAGAGAGAGACCCTTTGCATATTAAATTTTATTTATTTATTATTATTATTTTTTTTAAAAGTAATAGAAAACCTCATAAATGGTCCCTGGGTAGTAAAATGACAAAAATGCCCCTTACTTAACGGTGAAATGCTAACGGAGTGAGCCGGAAGGACCAAATGTTAAAAGTTTTGAAACCACAGGGACCATCTGTGAGGTTTTTTGAACTTAGGGATTAAACTTGATATTTTCGAAAACCACAAGGACCATTTTTGAAATTTTGTCTATAATTTTAGATTATATCATTTTGAATTATAGTATTTTGGATCATATCATTTTTTAATTATTTAATTTTGAATCGTAAAAAAATACGATTAAAGATCATAACATATTTTGATCAATTTATATTTTATCATTAAAAATTAAAGATCATAAACATCTGATAACTTTTTTGGATTATAAATATTTAAGTGATCTTCATAAATGGACCATGTGTTCTCATGGAAGGTCCTTATAATTTCATTTTTCTTGGTTGTTGGTCACTCGCCCATTTGAAATTACTTCTTTTTTTTTTATCTTTTTAACTTCTTTTACATTTTTGTTTAATTAAACTATATATATATATATATATATATATATATATATATATATATATATATATATATATATATATATATATATATATATATATATATGAATGATCATTTGAGAAATCATAGTTTCCCGAGAACCCGAAAACTAAAGGTGGAACGTTAGATCAAAAATTTTAATGGTCGAGATCAAAGATGGCATATTTGTAATTATGAACAATTTCAATGGTAGCTTTGACTTTTTACAACATATTATGAGGGTAGTTACGGAATAAAAAATTAAAATACATGGTAATTAATCAAAATTAATTTTTGAAACAAAACTTTATTTCTCTCTCTTCATCACCGTCTTGCTCACTCTCTGAATCTATATCTCTCTCTCATCTTTATCTTCATCCAGATATATAGATGCAATCATCAGATCTTACCTCTTTATCATGTCCTAACCTCCGATGAAGATGTAATGGTTCCATTATCGTCTTCAATCGATTGTATCAGATGAAGTAGTAAGAAGATTCATCATCTGTATTTTTCTCGCGACATCATAGTTTACTGATCAATCAAAGTTCCGCCTGTATTAAGAAATTCCTCAACCATCGCCACCGGAGATAGTTTCATCTTGTTCACGTCTCTACTGATGTGTCTCTTTCATGTATGAAATTGTGATCTTTTCCACTTTATGAAATCATTCTCTCCCTGTGTAATCACTTCGTCGATTTCAGATACACAATTTGCTATGGTTAGATAAGAAGTATTGATCTGTTCAAATCAGAAGTTTCGATGTCTTTTAGGTAACATTAGTTTTTTTTCCTTTTGTTCAATTAATTCATTCAGGAAACAAATTTATCTTTGCATTTCTTTTTGTTAGATTTCTGATGTTGCATAGTCTCATCATTCACGTTCAGAAATCTCTCACATTCCTTCCTCATGTCATCGCCTTGCCTTCTAATGTTGTCGCCTCATCCCCTATCGATCGCCTGGTTCTCACAGTGCTTGTGTTGATGTCTTACAAATCTTTTATTCGTTTTGGTTTTTAATTGGGGATATTTAATCTCGATTGAGATCCAATAGGCTTATTGTTCTGATTAGTAGGTCGGAAAATTATGGAGATGGTGGTGATCACCTAGAGATGTCAGAACAGGAACGAATTCAATATCTAGTTTATATGAGAAATTGAAAGAATTCAGAGGTTGCATCATTTGAAATTCGAGGTTCACCTTTTTCATATTGACTCAGCCTCAGGATTTCAAGCAATTGTGAAAGGTACTGAAAACCTTGGATTAGTTTTTTTAGTTGATTGTTATTTTCTTCTGGTAATGTATGGTATTTATACTCTATTCATCATTGTTCCTTAATCGATGATATTTGTGCATAAAATACATGATTTTCTACTATAGTCAATGGTGATGTGTGTGCATTACCTTGAAGAATATTTGTATTCATCCTTCTCATTGCCTCCTTGATCCGTGCACACAACCTGTTTGATAAAATGCCACAGTTTTGCTTTATTTGAGTTTTTGTGCCTAGAAGAGATATATGATGTAATCCATTGTTTTGGTAATTTAACACAATTTGTTGCATATTCGATGTTATTTTTATCCATTAGGATTTCTGATTAAAACCTGAGTTGAATTGAAAAAAAGTATACAAGAGTATAGTAGTTTTGACTCGAATCGCATTAAATTTCAAACTTGGTGATCTTAGGTTTCATGTTTTTGTATACTCTAACATAACTGTGGACACTATTTATTACAACAAACTTGGAAATAAAAAAGTTGAAATTTGATGATTAGGGCTTAAACTCCATTCGAGATGGTTATTGTTGTTTTCTTCCTTTATGTAGATCAATCACTACTATAATATCTGAACCATTATAGCCAGTTGTTCTGGTATATTCATCTTCTCTTCTTTATTCTTCCATGTAATATATTTATCAACTCCTGTAGCAAACAAAAGTTTCTTTCATCTTCTTATTTTACACCAGTTCTTATATTTAATGACATGAAGATCATTACCTTGTTTATGAATTTACTTATGATCTGATCAGTAATGATTTGGTAGCACGTTCTCTTTTGGCTTTTTGCTATAGAATTAGATATCCTGGATACATATGAAGGAAAGGAGTATGAAAAGAAGGTCGTTGAGGTTTCTTTGTTGGTATTTTTTTTATAATCATCTTCGTTATCTATATTTTCTAAGTATATAATTTATTTTAATTTACTTCCTTTTAGCAATAAATGACTTTAAATGGTTTAAAGTTTACAAAATTGTTAAAAAAAACTTCAAATAAAGACTAAAACTGAAATTTATTAGTTCATTTTAATAAGTTCTTCAAACTTTTTATTTTCAAGAAAATATTGACAGGAACCTTTCCTATAATTATAAAGTACATTGTTATTTTATTGTTATCTTGTGAAATTAAAGGATTAACAACATATACTATTTAATATTTTTCGTTCTTTTTTTTCTTTGTGATTCTAATAATCAATTATAAATCATATGTGATTTGTGTGAATTGGCATAACATATTAGTAATTAATTGGAGACAAGACTATAAGTGTGTAGTGATTCACATGTAAATCACAAGTGAATCACATATGAATTACATGTGATTCACATTTAATTTACATATGAGCCACATGTAACTCATATGTAAATCATACGTGAAACACATATGAATTACATGTGATTCACATGTAAATCACAAGTGAATCACATATGAATTACATGTGATTCACATGTAAATTACATCTGATTCACATGTAATTCACATACGAATCACATGTAATTCATATGCAAATCACAAGTGAATTACATGTGATTCACATGTAAATCGCAAGTTAATCACATATGAATTATGTCTATATGAATACATGCATTTTGTGTGAGTGTTATTCGTTAATTATTTTTAAAGTTTTCTGGTGAATTTTACATATGAATTAACTAAAGGTGGAACGTTAGATTAAAAAAACGGATGACCAATATCACTTGTGGCATTTTGTAAATAAATAGAAACTTATTGGGGCGGGGGCATCATAACTTAAAATTACAAGGGAATTAAAAGAAACAAAAATTAAATTGAATAATATCCTAAATCAATCACATATCTGATAAGCAACATATCTTGTTCTCTCTCCCTCTCACTTCTCAATTTTTTGCACATCTCTTCTAGAAGACCTAATTGACATGACCAAACAATTTATCTTCTTCTTTTTCTCCACATCTACCGATGAATTACCGCTTCACCTAAGATTTTAAAGAACTTTTCGCTGGCGAAGTAACAAACTTCTCCACCACACGACGGGAAGTTTTCTTTTATCGAAGTCAAAGAAAAATTGGGAACGGTTTGAGCCTCGATCTCCATCTCCGTCTCTAATCCATGTAAATCATCGATCCATTTTCATTCACTAAATCTCTCTCCAGTTTTAGGTTTTCACAACAGAACGAAATAGTTTGATTTGGTTAGCTCTCAGTTTCCGATTCTATTTTGGATTCATTTCACACGAATAAATTGCTTTCAATAGGTATAAACTATAAACCATTTTTTCCTTCTAATTTATGTTCATTTCCAAGAAAAAATATTTGCACACTAGCTGTTTGATCAAATGCCTAAGAGGGATTTATACATGTGATTCACATGTAAATCACGTGATTCACATGTGAGTCACATATGATTCACATATGAATCACATGATTCATATATTAATCACATTTGATTTACATATAAATCACATGTGATTCTCATGTAAATCACATGTGAATCACATATGATTCACATATTAGTCATATTTAATTCACATGTAAATCACATTTGATTCACATGTAAATATATCACATGTGATTCACGTAAATCACGGGTGATTCATATGAAATCAAATGTAATTCACATATGATGCCATATGTAAGGTGATTCATATGTGAATCGCATGTGATTCATATGTTAGTCACATGTAAATCACATATTTATTTTTGTGAATGTTTTTGCATCAATCATTTTTTTTATTTTCTTGTAGATTTGGAAGAAACTGTGGAGAATATTGAATAGGTGAAAAATGATAAATTGAAGAAGAGGTGGAAATATTGACACGAAGACATGAAAACGTTTTGAAATTTTGTACCATTTTTTTGTTTTTTATATTTTATTTTGTATCGAATAAAATATTTATTCTATTGTATTTATAAATTGGTAAATAAAATGAGTTTTCTTATGATTTCCTTACAAATATTATAGTATATGAAATATGCATATATGCATTTGTAAAAATAT